GATGCATTGAACTGCTGAGACATATAGTTCTGTATGGGCTGTGCTTTGCTTTCTGCACAGCTGTGACTTGTAGTTCTCATTGTCTGTGTTTCTTTCCAGTCACTGGGACTTTACTCTACCGTCTGCTCTCCCCGTCAACTGTTGGCTGTGTGGTCTTAAAGCTGCGGTCAAGACACACAGTCCTCTGAGGACCCGAGATAAGTTGGTGAAGGACCTCTGCTCTCTGGACTTCTTTCTCCATACCACTCTGCCTAGACTTCCTCTACTGAGGCCATTGTTGGCTGGTGAGTCCCTGAATTGCTGCCATGTGCTCCTGGACTTTGCTGTACCTGTTTGTGGCCTGCTACTCACTGGGCCCAGATTGTTGCTCTCTGACTCTGGACTAAGCTCTAAGTGCGACCCTGTGCCAAGGACTTAGCCCTTGTTGTGCAGGATCCTTGTACATTCCTGCTGTGTGCCCAGTTCCTTGTGCCCAGCCGGTGTTACAGACTTAACCCTTTGTCTGTCAAAGTTCTGCTATCCCTGCTTTGTGTCCAGCCTGTGTTACAGATGTAAGCCTTTGTCTGCTGGATTCCTGCCATCCCTGTAGTGTTTTCAGCCCTGTGTTATGGATTTAACTCTTTGCCCACCAGAACTCTGCTATCCCTGCTTTGTGTCCAGCCTCTGTTATGGACTTAACCTTTTGTCTGCTGGATTCCTGCCATCCTTGTAGTGTGTTCAGCCCACAATTTTCTTTTGTTAATGTTTTACCTTAAGCATTACTAAAATCGCTGCTCCCTGCCATTCAGGGTTTTCCTTTTAATTTGACTTAGGTACATGTCCCTCAAGGTAGTGCCCAGACCCCCATACCATTTGTTTGACAATCCTTTTTCTATTAGCCTAGCAAATGGCCTGTTATTTTACCTTTTAACGCCCATTGGCTTGCACAATGCTCGTGAACCCACCCTGAACCAAACCTATTTCCGTTCAGCTCTACACTAGTAAGGTTACAACCTTGTATTGTTCTCTGTGTCCTTAATGAGGTGATTCTACCATTCTTTTCCTCCTGGTGGTAGTTGTCTCCGGTATAGAATGTGAGGGGAACTCTTGTAATGGAAAATCTGTTCTGGTGATAACTCTCTGAGAGGAGAATTCCTCTAACTTTGTAAAGATTTTCCCTCCAATGGGACACAGACAGCAAAAAATAAACTGACAGAAAATAATGCATTGACTGTGCAATCAGATAATTTTTCTACAACAGCAATATATTTTTTGTCGATGCCTTTTTTTTACTTTAAAGGATGGAGCCTGCCAACTACTTCTATTAAAGTGCCAGCTTGTTTAATAATCATTTATTGTGATCACTATGACAATGATTATTGGTTCCTGATCACTGCATACAGCACTGTAACAGCACTAGAGGCTTTCCAAACTCTGCTTCCTTTTGGGCACATTTATTTAAAGATGGTGAGCAGGTTACAGTTTAGAATGGTTTGAAGATCTAAAGCCGGCCATAGATGGTCCAAATCCCGACTGGTTTAGCAGAGACTGATTGGGATTCAAACCATCTATGGGCAGGCTGCTTGTACCCAAGCCGATTGTTGTAAGACTTGGGCAGGGGTGGACTGACAACTCATGGTGCCCCCAGGCAATAGGGGATCATGGGGCCCCTGTGTCCTTGCCCAAACTCAAAAAATCCTATGAAAAAGGTACCAGGGGGCATCTCATAGGGCCCCCTATTGACCCCGGGCTCTCGCGGCAGTGCCCGAGTTTCCAAATGGTCAGTCCGCCCCTGGACTTGGGTTCAACCAGCATGTCAGACTTTATATGCGATTAGCAGTAATCACTCTGTTCTCACAACCTTTTTTGAAAAAATATGGCTTTTTATTTTTTAGGTTGTGACCTTTACATTTTTTTATCTAGGTAACAACTCTGCTCTAGGCTTCTAACACATTCTGTATACCCAATATATATTCTAGCTTTCTTCTCTATATTCTTTCCCATCACTTCTGTGCCATAGTGCACAGTGCTTTTGTGAAACTTCTTAAATACTGCAGAAAAAATGCTCTGGCAAGGCCCCCGAAGGATAGCCATTATGCAGAGGTCCAGACGATAGTACAAAACAGAGACTGAAAAAGCCATAAACATTTTTAGCATATAAAAACCTAATAGCCCCTTGTCGCCACTTATACTGAGGGTGTAAGACTATGGAGGATAATGTACACCTGTTGTTTTCCAATCTTTTCCTATGATGGTGTAAGAGAATTCTATGAAATCCAGTGTAGATGACTGGATTGATGGGGTGAATTTTGTCACATTTTGATGTATGCTTTAATATTTTATTGCTACGAGAAAATAAGTGCTTTCTACTAAATAAAAGATACAACACACAAAGAAAGCTAGAGGAAAAGTAATAACACTGAGGGAAAAGACATTTAATGGACTAATGACAGTGATTGAGCTTAGGACAGGATGCGGATGTATATGCAAAAATCTATGTATCATAAAGATGAAAAAAGATCTATTTCATAGTTACAAATCTGTTCATGTAATTTCTTTTCTCACTCAGTTCTGTGTTCTTCCACCTATCCATCTTTGCCTTACTCCAGCTCTTTTTCTCCCTCTGACTCATTTGTTTCTTCGGTAGGATCATTACATTCAGCATCTTTAGGGAGCACTTTTGCATTTAATTACACCCCGTCCATTCTCATCACTCCCCCTCACCTCTATCCCCCCCCCCACCACCAAATTTCTGTATCTGTGTTTCCATGGTAACAGTATGCAGCTGCAGGAAACCTAAGCCAGATGTTCTAACCACCAAAGGTAAAATGCTCTGCAGAACCATTGATCAGCTGGGGAAAAATGATCTGATTCATCCATGGTGATTGCCAGCAGCATAGACCTCCTTGGCTTTGGGGAACTATTATCGTCTGCGTATGGTGGTTTGTCCTTTGATCTCTCAGAGTGCAATAGTCTGTTTGTTGCTATATACGTGAACATACTTTTGCACTGACTGAGTGATGTTCTGCAGGTAACGTGAAGACGGATGCTATGCAGGATCCTTGTAAATATTGATGCTCTGCAGTACTGTGTAAGACAATGAAGATCTTGAAAAACGCTGTTAAACATTCTGCAGTTATAAGAGGGAAGAGTTCTGCAGTATTATTTAATAATGATAAGTAAAGATAAAAATGATCAGCTGTGAAATCTACTGATTGTTTGATAAAAAGAGCTAATCCTTCCCTTTCTGTAAGGTAAAAAAAAAGGAGCAATTGGATGTGTGTTCTATAAAACAAACAGAGCATGTGGGTTGGAGTTAGATAAGTGGTAGTCTCAGCATCACTGTCCTTCTCTATTCCTTTTGCCTTTTCGCTCCATCAGCATCTCTCTCTATGTCTCTATCTTCTTCAATCTTAGCCCCTATCCCTAGTCTCCTTACTGTTTTCTTACTGTCTCTCTCTGTCTCTTTCGTCCCTCTCTTTAGACCTCTCTATTTTATTCCTTGTTTGCATTGCTTATTTGCTCTCCCCCATTAATCTCTCTTCTTCTCCATCCATCCCTCTCCCTCCTTTCTCTATGTTGTTTTCTCTCTCTTTCCCATTCCAGCTCTCTCCTCTAGCTGTGTCTCCCCCCCCCTCCTCATTTCCATCTCAACTTCATGTCTGTTCTCTTTATTTCCCCCCTCCATCTCTTCCCCATTTGTCTCTCTCTGTCTTTCAAACCTAGCTGATAAAGGGTTACACCGCGGCTTGCAGTCTGTGGTCTGGGATAATGAGTAGGATTTTAATTATGTATAATTATTATGAGTGGGATTTAGGGAGGGGATTTATGCCATAGGCTAGAACCACAGGAGTGATGAAAAGGGTTAATTTATCAGTAAGCGGCATAAGCAGAGACAAAAAGAGAGGCAGGAAGCTTGAGAGACATGTAGCATGCAAGACAGGATAACAAGAAAATAAAACCAGCAAATAAAAGGCATAAGTGAAAGAAAATAGGACAGAGGGTGTAAGCAACAGCGAGATTTATGGCCCTATGTACAGACAGACAGGTGACAAGGCTTGAGATCACAAGGAAAAAAATTAGGAGAAAAAAAAAAGGATGGAGAGAGTGACAAGAGGAGGTGTGTGTGGGTGAAGGGGTGTAACCTCGTGAGTATGGAACAAGTGTTTCATTAATCACCCTGGTGACACTTCTGACTTAACGAAGCACTATAATTATCTACATTAGTGATCAGTGTGCTAAAGTAATGTAGTGTGTACAATTCAGTACACAAGTAACCCCTTACAAATTAAAAAGAATGTGCGAGAAAATATAAAATAGGTGCATATGTAAATAAAAATGATCTTCCCATTTTAAAAAGCTTGGATTATTCAATCATGGCCCAAACAGAATATCTTACATATTGGGGTTGATATATTAAAGGCAAATAGGCTGTTCAATTAGCAAGAGAATTTTCCCCAGAGCTTAGTGAATATGGTGAAATTTAATTTTATAAAGAACACCCAATGACAATGAAATGAAAAAAAAACAGCATTTTTGCGTGCACATGATTGGGTGATGGAAGTTAACAGAGCTTCACCTTATTCACTAAGCTCTGGGGAAAACTCCCTTACAATGTGAACAGTCTCTTTGCCTTTAGTAAATCAACTCTACTACATTAATTGGTAAGTGCACCGTATAAGCAATATTAACCCCTTGGTGCCGGCGCCTCCCGGCCCTTTAAGGTTTTCAGAAACCGAGTGGTGGGACGGGATTTTAGGGTCACGTGACCGCCGCGATTCGTCGTCAGGGCAGTCACATGATTGGGAAAGGTCCCGATCAAAAGAGGAGATCGGGACCTTTCTGTGAGTACCGGACATGTGTGCTGGGAGCGCACGATCTCTGCACATATGTTTTTCTTAATTGCACGCAAATGTGTGGCCGCTCGGCGTCAAGGCCCAGGCGCCGAGCGGCCGCACATTTGCGTGCGGCCAGAGCGAAGAGGTTAAACACAGATTTAGAAAAAAGGATCAATTGTGTTCTCAGGAAGGTAACTCACAATATATACTATATTGCCAAACATATTGAGACACCCCTCCAAATCATTGGATTCAGGTGTTCTAATCACCTCCATGGCCACAGGTGTATAGAATCAAGCACCTAGTCATGCAGACTGCTTCTACAAACATTTGTGAAAGAATGGGTCGCTCTCAGGAGCTCAGTGAATTCAAGCGTGGAACCGTGATAGTTTGCCACCTGTGCAATAAGTCCATCTGTGAAATTTCCTTGCTACCAAATATTTCACGGTCAACTGTTAGTGGTATTATAATAAAGTGGAACTGGGAACAACAGCAATTCAGCCACGAAGTTGTAGGCCACGTAAATTGACAGAGTGGGATCACCGCATGCTGAAGAGCTCAGTGTGTAGAAGTCACTAACTGTCTGCAGAGTCAATAGCTAAACATCTCCAAATTTCATGTGGCCTTCAGATTAGCACAACAACGATGCATAGAGAGTTTTATGGAATGGGTTTCCATGGCCGAGCAGCTTCATTCAAGCCTTACATCACAAATGCAATGCAAAGCATTGGATGCAGGGGTGTAAAGCACAATGGACCCTAGAGCAGGGGAGATGTGTTCTCTGGAGTGTCTGGCAATCCAATGGACGTGTCTGGGTTTGGTGGTTGCGAGGAGAACGGTACTTGCCTGACTGCATTGTGCCAAGTGTAAAGTTTGGTGGAGGGGGGATTATTGTGTGGGGTTGTTTTTCAGGGTTTGGGCTTAGCCCTTTAGTTCCATTGAAGGGAACTCTTAAGGTGTCAGCATATTAGGACATTTTGGACAATTTCATGCTCCCAACTTTGTGGGAATGGTTTGGAGATGGCCCCTTCCTGTTCCAACATGACAGCGCACCAGTGCACAAAGCAAGGTCTATAAAGACATGGATAAGTGAGTTTTGGGTGGAGGAGCTTGACTGGCCTGCACAGAGTCCTGACTTCAACCCGATAGAACATCTTTGAGATGAATTAGAGCGGACACTGCAAGCCAAGCCTTCTCGTCTGACATCAGTGCCTGACCTCACAAATGCACTTCTGGAAGAATGGTCAAACATCCCCATAGACACACTCCTAAACCTTGTAGACAGCCTTCCCAGAAGAGTTGAAGCTGTTATAGCTGCAAAGGGGGGCCAACTCAATATTGAACCCTACGGACTTAGACTGGGATGCCATTCAGTTTCATGTGCATTTAAAGGCAAGCATCTCAATACTTTTGGCAATATAGTGTATAAGGATGTTAGTAGGGTCCCTTACAAAAACACTGACACTTTCCTGCATTGGAAAGGTAACAGGATTATGTAGCATATTGCCCCTTATAATGTTGGTCAATGAAAATAAACAAAAATTACTCAGGTGATTAGTGGAAAAAATGTCCACCAACATTGATGGGAGGAAAAATGCTTGATATTATTGTCTGTTGGGAGAAAAAAAAATGCCCCGCAGTTGGTGGTCAGTGGGACAAAAAAAAATGGCTGGCATTATTGGTCATTTAAAGAAAAAACACCTGGTGCCAATGGTCAGCGGGAGTAAAAATTGCTCTGGCAATTGCTGGAAAAATGTTAGAAAATAGTTGGAAAAATGGAATGGCACCAGTAGTTCAGGAAAAAAAATGCTGCACAAAATGCCCTGGCGTATATGTGAGAAAGAAAATGTTTGGCCATAGTGGGAGAAAAAAAATGCCCTTGGATTGTTTGTCAGTGGAAGGGGAAATGGGGAAATATCTTACCTTGTACTATTAGTGGTGTGTGCCAACAAACCTCAACAGACCCCCATCCTTCTTTAACACGTTCAGACCCCAGATCAGCCCTTTTTCCTACTTAGCCCATTCAGACCTCAGATCAGCCCTCCTTTCACTTTAACCACATTCAGACCTCAGACCAGACATTTTTTCCTCTTTAACCCCTTAAAACCTCAGATCAGCCCCTCTTTATACCCTTTATGCCTCCAAACAGGTTTCCACTTTATATCCAAACTCACTTAACTGTCCTATGCAATCTGCCTTAAATATTACAAATAAATCATCACTCAAACATCATTCTGAACATTAAAGTGCTTAGATTAAACAAAAGTTCTCAGTGTCCAAATGATGCCATCTTTTGCAACAAAGTGCTAGTGCTTAAATTAAATCCTGTGCAATCTTCCTAATGCTTGTGCTGGTATGCAAAATACTCCACTGTTTCACATTGATCAATTTCTTGTGCTGTGCCCCCCCCCCCCCCAAATGCTCCCACACTCACTGGAGCTTGTGGACTCTATGCTTAAGCAATAAAGTGTTACTACCTACATGACATTTAGTATAAATCAATTTTAACAGCCCTGCCAGTGGCTACAGTGATCTCTCCCTGTGCTGTTTGCCAGCAGCACAACACTTATATGTCTGCTGTGACCTTACGCTTTTAACCTGAGGGGGTTGGCTTCTATACCAGCTGGCTTACATTGTTACTAAACCCACAACAGTGAAATAAGTCTGTATAAGCAGCAAAGCATGTTTGTTATACTCACGGTGAAACCTAAGGGGTTAAACATCTGCATTGGGCAAACAGGATGTTCGATCCTGTCTTCTCTGATCCTTCCCTTCTTCTGCTGTCCCCAATATATCTGATGATAGTACAGACCTATGGGAGTCACTCTGCACGTGCTCAGTTTGGGCTCAGTTTGGTGTGTATTGCTAGAGAGTTTTATTTTTTCTTTGGAAGGGTGCATGTGATCAGCACAGGGCCAATCAGCACTGTCCAGACAGAGGGTCAGGGGTTATGCAGCCTCATAGGTCAGTCAGAGCAGAATGAAAACTTATCCTACATACTTTATCAATGCTGAGCTGAACACTGATAGAAGTTACAAGACTGCTATATACTGCTGACGGGAAAAGGTATTCAGCAGTTTATATTTACTGAAATAATTGCATTTCCATGTTCTGTGTACTGTGGGAGACCAGTTATAGTGAATGCAGGGTCCTGACACTTTAAGAGTCAATAGCACTTGTTTTGCAGGCTTCGCTGATGTAGCACGGTCCTGGATCAGGTGCTGGCATTGTGAGATGTCACTGACCAGGCTACTGCCCAGCGATCTGGCGCCGCGCACATACATGGCGAAGCTGGAGTGATGGAGGGTCAGAGAGTGTTTTGCCTTGGAGATTCAGAGAGGGGTTGAGTCTCAGGACTGAGAGGGTGGCCTGTTGTGACCTGCTCATCACCCGGAAATGCAGCTGATGGGCTGGAGCCCACTAGTACTACTACAAGCCAGCTGAAGTCCCAGAGACACCGGCTTCACCCTCCAGCCCTGAACAATCTGTCCAGAAGGAGCCAGTAAGCGAGGACAACTAGTCCTCAGGTGAGCCGGCAGAGAGTGGAAGAGGTGGGGAGGTGGACCGGGGGTCCCCTAGAATTTTGGCAAAGTCCTGGCCTTTAGAAGTGGAGCAACAGGAAGACTGGTTCTCTGAGAATCCTGAGAAGGAGTGGTACTGGGGAAATACCACTGAGGACTTTGAGTCGCTAACAGGACAGTCAGGGAGCTCATGCACTCCAGACTCTGCTGGACCTCCCCACAGGACTGCATCATTCATATGTCCACTTAGCCAAAGCCTGAATTTGCCACACCCTGGCCTAGGACCAGAGCCAGGAATTCTGAACTAAATCTGCTGATTCTCAGGGCACCAAACCCCTGCATTTATCCAGGAATGAGGAACAAGGACGAACTACCCAGGTTCCAGAGAGCTGTACAGAAGCGGGTGGTCCTGGAATGGGGATGGGACTACCCCTATGTTCCGCAGAAGGTAATGGACATAATTGATAGCTCCAGACAGCAATGAGAGGATGACCTCATCTAGGACCCCATGTGCCCAAACCCTTCAGCAGGCCCTATCTAAACCCTGGAACCGCTTCCAGGACATTAAACAAGAATGGAGCAGGGGCTGGGCTAGCTACAAGGATAGCGTAGTGGTGGCCTACTCTATCACTGCTCAACTGACTGACGGCTTCGCCGTCAAATTGCCCAGCCTCAACCAATACTGCTGAGGGTTGATGCAGGATACCAACCCAGCAGATCCTGTTTTTGCTCCATGGACTAGGCCTGGACTTTATCCTGATGAGCCAGATAGGCTGGTCTGGGGTCCTACAAAGAGTCCACAAGGCATTATCATATTTGTTTGGGAGGGGCTCCTCCTAAGTTCAAGGACTCTCTATTGAAAAAAAAGGAACATTTCTCAAAGTATCTAGCTAGCTAGTTAGTGCGAGACATGTGATCAGGGCCGTGGATAAGGGGGTACCACCAGTCCTCCTGTACGGGGCCCAGGCCAGCAGGGGGGCCCAGACAGATGGGTGAATCAGATGTGGGCAGGGAGGGTGATCAGCTGAAAGCTGACTTCTTCTCCTCTACCTCCCACTGGCTCTCAGCTGCTGCAGAGAGAGTCATCCAGGGGATTAGTTCCTGTAATTGCCCCCCGCCACACCCATCACCCTCCCTGTGCACCATACATTTCCCCCTGCTGGCCAGGCCCCCCACCACCACAGTGCTTCCAGCTTCCCTCTTCTCCTTACCTCCGGCAGCTGCAAGCACACAAAAGGATCCTTCAGGATGGAAAGTGCAGGAAAGGTCAGATAAATACGTCACATTTACAAGCCCCTTCCTTTCCTGAATGAACACAATGAGTGATCAGTGTCGATCATTCACTGTGTTCATTCATAACTGAAGAATAGTAAACCATGTTTTTTAAGGGGTCGTTCTGTTAGGTTGGCTGTATGGGGCCTTATGGTTTCTGGAGGTGCTCCATGATATCATAATGTATACTTGTACATACAGTATGTTTCTCTGGTACTTTGGTTATCTCCTGATATTAGCCGCAGTTAGCTATAATCAGGCATTACATACTGTATGTTTTTGTGTCATATGTAATATGCAAAATGTATATATTTTAATTTTGTATGTTTATTTCTTTGTACGTAATTTATTCCCCTTTCCCAGTTGTATTTCTTTTTTTCCCCTCCCTTTTTGTTCTGCATGGGATGCCCTGCTCCTGGGCTTAGGACCCATATTTTGTTGCTCCCCCAGCTAGTGAAGACATGGCTGTTTTCTAGCAAGGTTTGAATGTAGCACCCTCATAGGTAGTTAGGGGGAGCTAGATGATTATTTTTTTAGTTAGAGGCTGAGTAGCAGCCTGGAGGAATAGTCAGAGGGGGCCAAAATTCAGTCAGGTCCTGAGAGACTTGGAGAAGTCTCTAGAATTCAGTTAGTGGAGTGAGGAATGGCTGGTCTGCACTCTCAAGGGATCCTGACCAATCTCTAAGCAGGAGGCTTGGCATGGGGTCAGGACAGCCCTTAAGAGTGACTGAGCCTGTTCCGCAGCAGGAGAGTTCAGGGTGGAAGATGGAGTGAGCAAGATGCTGTGTGTGGAGCCTGGGAGGGGGTCCAGGAGAGGGGCCTGCCTGCAAGTAGTGGTGCTGGAGAGGAAAAAAGCTCAGACCCCATCAGTCCCCAGAGTGAGGACCTGTGCAGCAGGAAAGGAGCCAACCCAATGGAAGGCCTGAAAGTAGCTGCCAAGCCATCAGATCATGGGAACAGGACTGAGTGAGTAATCCTACACCCCCTGGGCCAGTTAAGGGGAAAGAAGCATTCTGGTGGGAAACTGGATTGGCTCCTTGCTCAGGACTGTTCACTTTAACGTGGTAGGCACTGGATCCCCTGCCCAGGAATTCCTTCAGACAGCTGGATAGAGGAGGATTATCTGGGGTCTGGGGTGGTACACCAGGAGAGACTGGTGAGCTCTTCAAGAAGAGAATTCTAGTGTGTAAAGACTTGTA